TTCCATTCACACAAAAGAGGTGATGACAATACCTACCTCACCGAGCTCTTCTGAGGATGAAATCAGTGCCCGCCGCATAGGGAAATACTGTTTGTGGGTTCACTATTACCCAGCTCCCGTGGAAGGTGAGGCAGTCCACAATTCCGAAAGCGATGGAGCTGGTCGCACAGGGGTCTGTCCCCGGACCACGCAGGGACAGTCTGGTGGCCATTCTAGCAAAGGGCCTCCCTGGGCAGAGATTGTAGGCCTATTAATGACTTCAGCCACAACTTCTGCTTTACTTGGGACACAAAGGGGTTGGGTGGCTAGGAAGGTGTATGGATCAGATAAGGGAGGGGACAGGGTTTCTCAGCAAAGAGACTTGAGGCAGGCGATTGACAAGTGTCGCGCATTCTTTGAGGTAGATGTGGAGCCCATCCCTTTAGGAGGCGTAGAGAAGTCGCCCGGGTGGGTGTAGATGTGTGTACCGTGTTTAGTATGGATGCTGGCACATATGTGTTCACTGTCTAGGAATCCTATATGTTGTTCCAGTTACTACTGGAACTACCCTAAACTCAGTGGGAGTAATATAACCATCATTACTACCCTAATCCTGCGGGCTAGGTTAGGAACTGGAAGGGCACAGGGGGTATAGCTCATCTCTCCTCCACAACATCTGGACCTCAACAAAAAGACAGCTGGTGGCCAGGGCTGGGATCACTTGGAGGTGACCGTCCTCTTCACGCATCCGGTGGCCGATGCTGGCTGCTGGCTGGGACCTCAGCTAGGGCTGAAAAAGCTACTTGTGGCCTCACCACATGGCCGTCGGCTGCCCCGCTTCACGGCAGCCTCGGGCTGGGCTAACTTCTCACGTGGGAGCGCAGGGCTCCAAAGGTGAGGAATGTTCCCGCTAACAAAGCAGACGCTGGATTGCCTTGTAAGACCTAGCCATGGATGCCACAGGGAGTTATTTCAGCCCCATTGTATCAGATACAAGCAAGTCATAAACACCCCAAATTCAATGGGTGGAGGGCTAAATTCTACCTTTTTTTTTTTATGTTTACTTTGAGAGAGAAAGAGAGTGCACATGAGCAGGGGAGGAGCAGAGAGAGAGGGAGGGAGAGAATCCCAAGCAGGTTCCGTGCTGACACCATGGAACCTGACGTGGGGCTCGAACCCACGAACCCTTAGCTTGTGACCTGACACCGAAACCAAGAGTTGGACACTTGACTGACTGAGCCACGCAGGTGCCCCTAGAGTCCACCTCTTAATGGCGGAGCGGCAGTGTTCTGGAGGAACACAAGGGTCAGGAGATACTGGCTCTATGTTTTGAGCGAATATAATCTGCCACATGCGCTTCTTTTGAAAAAGACAGTTGGTTATACGAAGTTAGGAACTCTAGCCCTGCTTGCTAGTGTTCCTGAGTTCTCACGCCGTATACATGGCACATACTGGAAAGTAATAACCGAGTGTGTGCCAGGCAGTTTTATAATACAACACCCCCTGAAGCAGGTACTACCGTCAGCCCCAATTCACAAATGAAGTTCCTGGATGGTTAAGTAACTTGTCCAAGGTCGCATAACTCCTGAAGCACTGGAACTGGAACAATGGCAAGCTGCTGCCGGAATCCGGGCAATTAACCATTAAGCTCCTAAGGCTCGAAGCGTACCATTCACTTAATCACTCGGCCACTGGCATACTTACAGTATACCCACTATGTGCCAAGCACTGTGACGGGACCGTGTGTCAGTGGTGAGAGATGAAAAGTCCTGACCTCATGAGCTTATAGAATCTATACTACAGCTAATGGAAATTGATGTTTTTTTCCTTGAGAGAGAGACAGAGAGAGTGGGGGAAGGGGAAGAGGGAAAGAGAATTTTTTTAATGTTTATTTATTTTTGAGAGAGAGTGTTAGTGAGGGAAGGGCAGAGAGAGAGAGGGAGACAGAATCCGAAGCGGGCTCCAGGCTCTGAGCTGTCAGGACAGCACCCGACGCAGGGCTCGAACTCACGAGCCGTGAGGTCATGACCTGAACTGAAGTCGGATGCTTAACTAACACCCAGACGTCCCGAGGGAGAGAATTTTTTTTTTTTTAATTTTTTTTTCAACGTTTTTTAATTTATTTTTGGGACAGAGAGAGACAGAGCATGAACGGGGGAGGGGCAGAGAGAGAGGGAGACACAGGATCGGAAACAGGCTCCAGGCTCCGAGCCATCAGCCCAGAGCCTGACGCTGGGCTCGAACTCACGGACCGCGAGATCGTGACCTGGCTGAAGTCGGACGCTTAACCAACTGCGCCACCCAGGCGCCCCCCGAGGGAGAGAATTTTAAGCAGGCTCCACGCTCGGTGCAGAGCCTGATGCATGGCTCAATCCCACGACCCTGGGGTCATAACCTGAGCTTAAGTCAAGAGTCGGATGCTCAACCGACTGAGCCACCCAGGTGCCCCGGGGACTGATTTTTGAACCAGCAATTTGTAGCGCATTTATAGGGGGAATAAATGAGGACTGTTATTGAGCTAAGTATTCCTTGTACCCTATTTGATGCAGCTGAAAAGGATCCAGGGACAAATGTCCCTGTCTTATTTCTGGTGAGGGCGCAGACTCCGACGCCAGCCTGCGGACACTGGACTCTTACCACTTCCTGGCAGGCTAACCTCAGGCAAAGTTCTCTCCCCTCTGCGACCTTGTTCCCTCAGGTACGAGATGGCGGAACCGCACCTACCTCTGAGCGCAGCTGAGACCTAACCCAAGCGGGGTGCCTAGAACCCAGAGGCTAGTAACCCCAGGGTTAAGGTGGGGGGGGGGGGGGAATCACCGGCAGTAAGAACTGCCTTGTTCCACAATGTGGCACAATGCTGACATCTAGTGGCCAGTTGACATGGCTGGTTCTTTCCCGGGCAAAATTGTTCCAAAGGAACATAAGTCATTTTCTGTGATGTAATGCCTCAGCTCCAGGCCTTCCTCTTCAGACTCTAAAGTGCCCAGGTATTCCAGAAGCTGCTAGAATAATGTATTTTTGGCCCTGGGAAGCAACTGCTTTAAAATGAGATATCATGCAAGGTACAAAGCACAGAAACTGCCCAGGAGAAAACTGTTACTATTTCTTTTTTTTTTTTTTTTTAATTTTTTTTTCAACGTTTATTTATTTTTGGGAGAGGGAGAGACAGAGCATGAAGGGGGGAGGGGCAGAGAGAGAGGGAGGCACAGAATCGGAAACAGGCTCCAGGCTCTGAGCCATCAGCCCAGAGCCCGATGCGGGGCTCGAACTCACGGACCGCGAGATCGTGACCTGGCTGAAGTCGGACACTTAACCGACTGTGCCACCCAGGCGCCCCACTATTTCTTGTGCCCTTTGGTGAGGCAACTTAGGCCTTGAGACCACTCTCTGAAGTTAGTCCCATGCTTCTCACTTTATAAATGCAGGAACTGGGGCTTGGAGAGGTTCTGTGACTCACCCAGGGTCACAAAGCTTGTGAAAGGGGCCGGGGCCCCGAACCCAAGGTCTGGGCCTAGGCTGGAGCTCCCCACCTGCTCCCAGCCCACTCCACACCCCCAACCCTTTTCTTTCCTGCTGGAGACCAGAGAGCTGCAGCAGCGGGGAGCAGGGCGACAACCGATGGGCAGAGCTCAGCCTGCTAAGGCACAGCTGCAGATCAGGGACATCCCGTGAGAGGCCTGCCCTGCATGACATCAGGGACCATCCCAGGGGACTGGAAACTGGAATTCTCTCCGGGAGCAATGGGGAGAAGAGGCCAGAGGCACCTGTCATCTCAGATGCAGTAGAAATTGACCAGGGGCGCCTGGGTGGGTCAGTCAGTTAAGTGTCGGACTCTTGGTTTCGGCTCAGGTCATGATCTCACAGTTTGTGGGATCGGGCCCCGAGTCGGGCTCTGTGTTGACAGCACAGAACTTGCTTGGGATTCTCTCTCTCTCTCTCTCTCTGCACTATCCCCACTCGTTTTCTCTCTCTCTAAATAAATAAATCTTTAAAAAAATAAACAGGGGCGCCTGGGTGGCTCAGCTGGTTGAGCGTCCAGCTTCAGCTCAGGTCATGATCTCACGGTGAGTTCAGGCCCTGCGTCAGGCTCTGTGCCGACAGCTCAGAGCCTGGAGCCTGCTTCAGATTCTGTGTCTCCCTCTCTCTCTGACCCTCCCCCGTTCATGCTCTGCCTCTGTCTCAAAAATAAATAAACATTAAAAAAAATAAAAATAAATAAAAATAAATGAATCTTAAAAAAAAATAAACACAACCTTAACCCTTACAAAAAGTGTGAGGAGGTCCAAGAAGACACTTTTCTCCCTGATATTGCACCAAGACATTAGAAAACATATAACCAAATTAATTTCCTTTAAAAAAATTAGGGGCCCTGGGGCGACTGGGTGACTCAGTTGGTTAAGCGTCCAACTCTTGATTTTGGTTCAGGTTATGAGCTGATAGTGCAGAGCCTGCTTGGGATTCTCGCTCTTTCTCTTTGCCCGTCTCTCTCCCTCTCTCTCTCATAAAGAAGTAAACACATACATACATACATACATACATACATACATAAAAATTGGGGGCCCTGGGGCACCTGGCTGGCTCAGTCGTGGAGCACGCAACTCTTGACCCTTGCGGCATCCTGAGTTAGAGCCCCATGCTGGGTATAGACATTACTTAAGGGGAAAAAAAAAACAAAAAAAAATTTTTTTAAATTGGGGACACTTGCACTGCTGATGAGTGCCTTAGCCTCGGCTGTGTCACCTACTCACTGCGATGCTGAATGGACAGCAATCCAGCATTTGCCTGCGTCTGACTCGGTGACACTACTGTTGGTGACACAATTACAGAACGTTGGTGGATTCTGCAAGGTCTACGGAGCTTACGGCCCCACGTAACTCACAGTAAAGAGTGCCGCCCGACAACGCTGTCCCTACGCACAAGCGTTCTTTCCAAGGGCTCGTGTGAGCCGCGAGCCAGGCGCAGAGCCGAGCGGAGCCAGGGGACCTGGACCGCCAGGTCCCCCGCGCCTCGAGGCGGGAGCTCGGACGGCTGCGGACCGTCCCCAGAGCGGCCGCCAGGGGGCGCGCACACACGGCGGCGTGGAACTTCGCGCTTTGTCCCCTCGCGCGGTCCGTCTCCGGGCGCCGCGGCGGGAAATCCGACGGGCTCCTCCCGGCCGCCGCCTCTTACTGCCCTGGCGCGCCTGCCTGGGTCGGCCCGCTGAGATGGAGGAGGACGAGGCGGCCGAGGAGCAGCAGCGATTCTCCTACCAACAGGTACAGGAAAGCCGGGTCCCGGCCAGGCTGCGGGAGGACGGCGTCGAGCTGCTGGAGAGGGAAAGGCCCCGAGGCCTGGCGCTTCTCGGGGCGCGTCCCCCGGGGCGGAGGGCGCGCTCGGGCCGCGTGCGCCTGCGCCAGCTGGGCTGCCGCGGGGGGTGCTGGGAGGCGGTATCCTCGGTAACGCGGGTCCGAGTCGCGCGGCAGCCTTATTGCGCGGGACAGCCGCAGTCTCCCTTCTCAGGGGTGTTGTGAAGATGGGGTGTGAGCATTTGGAGGGGATTCAGGCCAAGCACGTAGCCCGATGCCCGGCACGTGGCCGCCGTGACGTGCGCGCTCCGTTCTGCAGACGCGGAGACGGCCTGCGAACCTGGGTGCGACGCGGGCCATGCGGTCCCGGAGCCCATCCTTCCCGGGTGGGTTCCGGTCCCGCCTCCGCAGCCCGAGGGTCGCTTCGGCGCTGCGCGAGCCCAGCTTTCCTGTTTGCAGAATAACGGAGTAACAGTAACCCCCTCCCAGGGGCGGCCCTTCCTCTAATCGCCCCCGGAGTTAGTACAATGGGGCAGGATCGCGGGAACCAACCGTAAAGCCCCAAAGAGATAAAAAGCCAGAACCAGGGCGGTATCCTCAAAGAGGGGGCACTCAAGGGTCGCGAAGGAGCTCAGGGCGCGGGAGTTCCCTCCTGCCAGTGTAACACTAAAGCTGTTTTACCCACCGCCTGCCTTTATTTTGAGAAGTGTAAGATTTCAGGAGAAGTTGGCGAGAATAGTCCACTCAGCAGCCGTATGCTCCCCACCTGGATTCACCAGTTGTTAGCACTTGGCTGTGTTTGCTCCT